ATGAAAGCCGAAGTCTTAAGATTGTTGTGGGATATGAATAATAAACGCATTATGCAATAGTTTTATTATTTGTCTATAAATCACTAGTTTTGGTATTCATCTATAAAATTTATTATTCACGCTAATTTATAATAAAACAATCTATCATTATTTTATTTTTCATTTTTTAATATTATTTTACATTATAAAAATAATTAATTATCTTCTTAATTTTTTTGCCAATGTTAGTTCTGTTTTTTTTTTTAATTGAAACGTATCTAGGACACTAATATTCTTTGATTATTTAATATTGTTTGAGAAAGAAAGATGAGCGGCATGAATAAGATGCAGATTAGAGTTAATGATGAGATGGACATGCGACAAAAGTAGATCGGTTGTGTAACAATAAAGAAATACCCAACTTTTCTACTTCCTCCATTACCTTACATTTCACGCCACTAAACACACAATATTCACACACACACACACACGCACACATATAAATATATTGTCTCAGAATTAAGCCTCTTCTCCAATATATTAATTTTCTCTGCTTCTACTTACACCCAAATAAAATTATGTCTACAGATCTCGAATTCAGGTTGCCAGCGATCGAGATTAACTCTGATCGTGATGTTGTGGTTGACGTAGACGAATGCCACACCCCGAGATCGCCGCGGCACATGATTCCGGCGGCCGTAATCTGTCCGCCGGCGCCGAAGAAGCGGCGGCCGACGGCGGCGGCCTCATGCAAGAGGAAGCTGTGGGATCTAGACTTCTTTGAGATTGTGGCCAGGGAAGAAGTCGAGTTCGTGTTCAGGTCAACGGTTCAGGTCAACCTTAATGGCTCCATCAAAAGGAAATGCATAGTCTGAAAAACAAAATATATAATTTTTGTTTTAGGTTTGGGTTTTAATTAATATATTTCCTGATCTATATATAAATATATGTATAGAAATTATGGGTGTAGATTTTACAAAGTGTTTTAGGCCGTTAATGGTGAGTCCTTCAAACGGAAAAGTGATCCTCGTTTTCCACTCGAGTGTTTCGGAG